GAATTATTTTAAAATTTTTGTGCATTTTCCTTTTCAAGTGCCAAATGCAAACACTGAAAAAAAACACGGGCTAACCGGGTTAGTTTTCGAATTATATAAGACACAAGCTAAAAAATGCGCCTGAATAAGCCTATGATAGCGTTGCCATGGAAAATGCTAGTGACGAAATGACACCTATTTTTGAATAACCAATGATTATATAATTCAACCCTGTAAAAGTGTTCAACTGGCCTTGGTCAGTCTTTTTGTTGTAGTCTTTCAAAGTTACAAACCATCAAAAAGATGAAAAATGGTACCAGCCAACATAAATGCAAGAAATCGGCGAGTAAATCAGTCCAACGCGATGGCGGCAATCGTGAAAAACGACGCTGCCACCAGGAAATATAAAGCGTACATCTTTGCCGTTAAAAAATGCGGACAGAGAATATCCTAGTTATTGCTTTCATTCTTCACCTTGCTCAGCGCCGTAGCGAGAATAACAGCAGAGGCTGGTTGAATTAGAACTCCCACGGCTAAGTCGGAGAAGGCAAGACTTAAAAACAGTCTCCTCATATTATCAGGTATTAATGAGGTTTTCCATAAGACGAGTAGTGTGACGTTGAAATTTTGAACGAATCATGTACAGTTTGGTGAGCTACATTTGAATATAAGTGACACAACCCATGTTGAAAATTTCAAGTTTCATCGTCGAACGCGCGTGTGAGCTTTGTCTCCGCTGAAAATGGTGTTAGAGAAGATCTGTAATGATGAAAACTCCGCTCGATGGGCTGGATAGTGCAGAAGAAAGTGATCTGGACCGGCAGCGAGAAAATGAGAGTGGGGGATCGAGGTGAGCCGAGTCAATGAAGGCCATTGCGAAATGGTCGCCATCGAACATGTGGTGTGTAAATGTGGTGTTGAACATGTGGTGTTGAAATTTGTTCGCCTCGGGTTGTTCTTTCGTGTTTGATTTCCCGTGCAGTTCTTTAAAGTTCGATTATAAATCGATCTTTGGGACTTTAAAAATCAGTTATGTACGCTAAGAGCACGTTTTTAGCGATCGGATGCGATGCAATTCAAGCTATTTGCACAAGCGAAATAGTTGGATGCCTGGAAATGCATTTTTTGGTTGCGTCGGTTACGTGCAATTCGTTGGCGATTTCAGACCTTCCAACATCTAAGACCTCTAAATCTTGAGGTATCCAAAATTTACCCAAAAAATCTTGACATTTGGACCCTAAATATTGAGATTTACAAATTCATTCACTTTGTAACACAGCAGGGTCCACCCTCCTGTTATAAAGCTGAATTTCCTGACAAAATTTTTTTTTTGCCTATTTCTTATGAATGACATGGGCGCACGTAAAAGCTCGTGATAAATTTACTATTTATTCTTTTGCTTGCAGATTTTCAGGAAATTTTGCTTACATGTTAATACTTATTTTTTTATCAAAAAATCTTCAGTAACCTATACATATGAGGATACGTGACTTTTACCCTGTTACGCGGGTAATCTATTAGAGGATGGGTAGCTCGCAGAGCAGACTGAACTCAGGGTTGTCGGAACAGCAACAAGAAGATTTATTGCAAAAGTGAAAGTAGTTTCCACATAGTAAAACTCTACAACAGCACGTAATTTGATAAGCTTACACGGCCTCCGCCAACTGCATTTGACTTAATAAACTCATACGGCCTCCGCCAATTTCAATAAACACTGCTTCCCGGTGACACTTCGATGATTGAATTCAGATTTTCTTTAGAAGCCCATTTTATACACTTCATAACGAGATATTGTGGGTGTTATTTCAGTAGATACTTGTTGAGATGTTGATTAAAAAACTGAGTGTGGACAATTGTTGCGTTTTTTTCCAGCTGTCCTAGATGAGATAGAAATATATTTCGCGTGTGGTTTGCCTTGTTTGTTCCCTGGAGGCCAGCTGCTTTAACTGAACGATTGGTTGCTAATAAAGCATTTTCTCACGACGATAATAACAGCCATATCAGCCTTGACGAGTTATAAGTAACAAAATTGAGTGTTAAGTAGGGTAGTTGAAGCATGAGCGTATTTAAAGAATTTTGCGAAAGGCGACTTAACGATGCCCTCAACACTGTCTCTCTACATCGTAAATTCACGTTCTCGCTTTGTGTATTTTACTTCGCCTTTTCTCCGGTGTCGATTGTTGGAAATCTCCTTTCAATTCGAGCCATATACAGAGTCACATCACTACCCGCGTCTTTTAAGAAGCTTCTTCTAAGTCTTGCTGTCTCTGACCTTGCAGTGGGATTGTTTTTACAACCCATGTATGGCACAATGATTGCCTTGGAGTTGAATAAGGGGATCAGTCAGTTCCTGTGTCCTTCTGTCCTGACGATTCAAATATTCGTTACGTTATTGGTGGCAGGAGCATCTTTCATGACCATCGCTGCCATTGCACTGGACAGACTTCTCGCTATTTATTTACATATGAGATATCAAGAGCTTGTAACGCCAAAACGAGTGGGAATTGCTTTGGCTCTTCTATGGATTGCAGCAGCTTTTGTGGCACTAGCTTTCATTTCACTGTCAGACCTTTCTGACTTGATCGCTGTTATAACCGAAGTATTGGGATTAGCTGTCACATCCGTGGCATACTTTTATCTATACAGAGTCGTTCGATATCATCAGAATCAAATTCAAACTCAGTGCCAGGTTCAAGACCAAAATGTTGCGCAAATATCTAGAGAGAAGAAGTCAGCTCTGAATACCTTATGCGTGTATGTCGTTTTTCTCACTTGCTATCTTCCAGGGTTATTATCAAGTATTCTTCTGATAATTGATCACTCAAACACATCGTTTCAAGTGGCTTACAACATGTCTTTGTTCATGGTTCTTCTCAATTCGTCTTTAAATCCATTTGTGTATTGTTGGAGATATCGCGAGATTCGACAATTTGTCAGAAGCAGCTTTAAAAGAAACGTCGACATATCGTAACTGATGAGGAAAGTAATTAAGAAATCTACGGAGGGTATAAAATATTATCCTTCTTGGAAAGGTATTTAAACAAACTGGAATTGAATCTCTGAAGCCTTACCACTAAGCTACAGCAAGTTCTGTCAGTTGAGCTGGGCATTTGCCAAGATCATTAATTATTACTTTATTTATTATTTGAAAAATCCGAATACGTTTATTTTACACCAAATGGCGAGTTTATCTTATAGAGAAACTAAATGCAAATTCATTTACAATGGTGAGCTACACTGACTAAATGCCTTGAATCAATCGAATTTGAAAATTAGATCTTCACACTCAGAAACGTTTTCATGTCTAGCCAGTATGCGAATCTGCTGGTGGTCGTGTTAGTGTCTCCGAGATAAGTTGAATAGAAGAACAGTAACTACGTTCGATTAATTTATGATTCCAAAGTGAGCAAAAGCTTTCCATGCATTGTCTGTATTTATGATAATGTGTTATTTATGATAATGTCCAACAGGTGCGTAGAGCTACATTGGACCTGAAAAAATCCTTAAGCCCAAGTTATTATAGAAAATCACTTATTCATAGTTTTCGATCTCTTATCCAAACAATACAAAAAGAACCTCTTGATCTCAGTATTAGTTCTAACAACCTCAAGCAGCACTTTTTCACGGGTTTTTAACTTTTCGTTGTGAATTTCTTTTTTCAAAGGTAATGATGGTTTCAAATCTTCAAATATTTACTTATTACAGAGGAACTTTGATTTAACGAACCTCTATATAACGAAGTCCTCGGTATAACGAACGATACTTCTGCTTCAGTCCGGCTAAAGTTACAGTAAAATGTATGCCAAAAAACCTCGATATCACGAACCCTCGATGTAACTAACCAATTTCCCCAGTCCCTAGGCTCTTCGTTGAGTCGAGGTTCCACTGTATGTGAGTTATAAACAACGGCCAATGAAAAGCATCGATTTTTAAATGAAATGAAAAGTTTTGTAAACTAATTTCTTGAGTCACAGGAGTTCGTATCGGAAATTATGTGAAAGGAGGAAAGACAGACTTTGTAAACGATTAATTGATCTGAGTTAGTATTGGCTAATTTGGGGACCCGTACTCACATGGACTTCTGCGCATGCGCTAGTTACATCACTTTCCTTGTTAATACTGGGATGAAATCAAGGTGGCTGTGAGCCACTCATCTCAGAAAATGTGATGTTCACCTTAAACACGCAAATTTTCATCAAAGAACTGATTTTTACTGTTCAGCGCAAACCCAACACAGTGAATCGCTTCGATTGCGAGCGATCTGATGTCAAACGTACAAGAACCGTAGGAACAGACAACGTTTATTGGCTGATTGATCAAATACAATTATCCTAAGTAAGAATTGGCGGCTGAATCGATCAGTAACACTTTTGCGGACGAAAATAATCCTGTACTTTTCCGCTATAAAAGAAAACTCGTTAATTTATATCAGTCATAAACAGGTGCAGTCATATAAAATGCATTGTTAAGTAGACTGTTCCGAAATAAAAACTGATAGAGGTTTCTTATCAGATGCAAGACCATTAAGGAATTGATTTTTTAAGGAACTGTGAAACCCTTGTGAACTAGTTGACAGATTTACAAAAAATTTTAACAGGACGTAATAGAAGGAGCGAGAGAAGGAGTGACATAGAAAATCCAACCAAAACTCAGAAATGGTGTCATTTTCTCAGTAATAAGGGCATCTGTAGCATATTTATTAAGGAAAAGAGGATTTTTCTGCATGCTTCAACACCCGCTCGTTGCAAGTAGACAAATTCTATCACGGCTCGGGCTTAAACAAGCTAATCATTTGTGTGATCTTGTGAATCTAATCATAAAGACATGAAATAAAAGAAGCGGCGAACTTTTCATTTAATTTGTTTTAGTAAATATTACAATTTTACAAACGTGTGCATGTATTCGCGGTTTAGTTGAAATTTGAACCTGCCTCGAGTACTCCCGACCTTCCTACGTGTGACAGTTAAAGATATCCATTCCTTCTAGCTTTCCTGTCATTAATTTGATCAAACATTTAGATCGCCTTTTTGCCAGGCAGCACAGCTAATCATTTTGCCCATCTGAGTTGTAAAAAGTAAATTGTTTCCGACGTTGCTTATTATAAATTCCTTGTTCGCAGGGACAATTTCACTCTTTTTTTTACATATCCGCTATTTCTCTCGAAAGTTCCCCAACAGCACAAAGTGTAACAGCCTCTATGACGCTGAATATCTCAGTAACAGGCTGTTCCTTTTAGTTTTGTGGGTTGCAGCTGTACATTAACGGAAGTTAAGAGCTTTGACGTGCTTCAGGG